ATGGTGCCCCAGAGAAACTCTTGAATTCCAGACAGTCCTCTCTGTTCCTCTTTTTTAGCAGCAAACCAATTTCCCCCTTGGCAATCAAGACCAATCCTGCTAACTAGTAGAGTAACTCATTTATTTTTGTTCTGTAACATGAGGAGACCAAAATGTCCTATATCTTCGCTTATGAACCAAGACCTCCAAAGTAGCATAACTCAAAGTTACAAAGACAGAAAGCAAAGATTCTGTGAGTAGGTTATTAATTGTAATAATTAGAAGAGCCTTAATTTCTGTTTCCATAAATTCTGGCCCTGGGAGAGCTGGATGCATATGTTGGTCACTGATTGAAAGTATGTACTGCATCCTATGACATAGAACCTTATTCTTGCAGAGTATATACTCTCAAATGGCATCATAAAGTCTTCAGTAGGTCATTAGACTGTTTTATTAGACTAGATGATTCTATTTGATGGGGTATGTGGTAAGAAGAATGAGCGTCATATACACGAGCTCATAATCACATTCTTTTGCTGTGAAATGAGTTTCTTGACCAGAAAAATGTCATGATAAATAATTTTATTCACCAACAGCAGTGAGACTACACCAGGAACTTGAATTTCCTTGACAAAAGGTAATTGTTGCTTTAAGTATTGTTCTAGAAAATATCTAGTCAAGATCTTTTAAAGCCATATGTTAATTAAAATTTCTCTTGCATAACAGTTTTTATTTTGAAAAGAAATCTGCTTTCCCCTGCTTTGGAAACTAATCCTTTGTTGACTGTGAGTCATGCAGAAATTATTTTAATTTTGACAATGTTCATTCTTAAGTCCTTGATGTCCAATGATCCATTACAACAACAAATCACACCTTGTACTTAAAATACTTGTCTGAAAATATAGTAGACACCAAAACAATTTACAACACCAAGCAGTATAATAATTAAAAAAAGAAATTGTTCACCTTTTTCACAAAATGAGCATGTTACTAGAGAAGGTAACAATTCAGGAAGTGTTAAATATTAACTTAAGGGATTTCCTGAGTCACAGAACTGTACAGAAACAAAACTGTCTAAAACATAATCAGCATGTTAACAAAGCAGACAAGAGTTCTAATTGTCAACTTGTCATTGACAAAGACAGAAGAAAATATGTAGTTTAAGATCAATTCCAACTTAATTCCCCATTCACCACCAAAAGCTTTTTTTTTAAAGTTCTATTGTTGTTGTTGTTGTTGTTGTTGTTGTACTTCAGGCTCTGGGATACATGTGCAGATCATGCAAGATTGTTGCACAGGTACACGGCAAGGTGGTTTGCTGCCTCCATCCCCCTGTCACCTATATCTGGCATTTCTTCCCATATTATCCCTCCCCAACCTCCCCATCCCCCACACTATCCCTTTCTTAGTGCCCCCAACAGACCCTAGTGTGTGATGCTCCCCTCCCTGTGCTCATATGTTCTCATTGTTTGACACCTGCCTGTGAGTGAGAACATGCAGTATTTGGTTTTCTGTTTTTGTGTCAGTTTGCTGAGAATGATGGTTTCCAGATTCATTCATGTACCTACAAAGAACATGAACTCATCTTTTTTATGGCTGTGTAGTAGTCCAAGGTGTATATTTTTTTGTCCAGTCTATCATTGATGGGCATTTGGGTTGGTTCCAGGTCTTTACTATTGTAAATAGTGCCACAATGAACATACATGTGCATGTGTCTTTATAACAGAACAATTTATAGTCCTTTAGGTATACACCCAGTAATGGGATTGCTGGGTCAAATGGAATTTCTATTTGTAGATCCTTGAGGAATTGCCACACTGTCTTCCACAATGATTGAACTAATTTACACTCCCAACAGTGTAAAAGTGTTCCTTTTATTACACATCCTCTCCACCATCTATTGTCTCCTGATTTTTTAACAATCGCCATTCTAATTGACATGAGATGATATTTCTCAATGTGATTTTGATTTGCATTTCTCTGATGACCAGTGATGATGAGCTTTTTTTCAAGTTTGTTGGCCTCATAAATGTCTTCTTTTGAAAGTGTCTGTTCATATCTTTTGCCTACTTTTGAATAGGTTTGTTTTTTTTCTTGTAAATCTGCTTTAGTTTTTTGTAGATTCTGGATATTAGGTCTTTGTCAGATGGGTAGATTGCAAATACTTTTTCCCATTCTATTGGTTGCAGGTTCACTCTAATGATTCTTTCTTTTCTGTGCAGAAACTCCTAAGTTTAATTAGATCCCATTTGTCTATTTTGGCTTTTGTTGCCATTGCTTTTGGTGTTTTAGTCATGAAGTTCTTGTCTATGCCTATGTCCTGAATGGTATTGCCTAGGTTTTCTTCTAGGATTTTATGGTGTTAGATTTTATGTTCAAATTTTTAATCCATCTGAAGTTAATTTTAGTGTAGGGTGTAAGGAAGGGCTCCAGTTTCAGCTTTCTGCAGATGGGTAGTCAGTTTTCCCAACACCTTTATTAAACAGGGAATCCTTTCCCCATTGCTTGTTTTTGTCAGGTTTCTCAAAGATCAGATGGTTGTAGATATGTGAAATTTCTTCCAAGGCCTCTGTTCTGTTCCATTGGTCTATATCTCTGTTTTGGTACCAGTACCATGCTATTCTGATTACAGTAGCTTGTAGTATAGTTTAAAGTCAGGTAGCATGATGCTTCCAGCTTTGTTCTTTTTGCTTAGGATTGCCTTGGTAATTCGGGCTCTCTTTCACCAAAAGCTTTTAAGTCATCTTTTAAATTTAAATATGTTTTATCCCTTTACTAGAGATTCATCAAACCCAGAATATTTTAAAAATTGCATGACACAGGAAGACATTCCCACTGAAAGGCTAACACTTACTAATAACATGAGTCACAATTTTCTATGTTCTATTTATTTAATCTTCAGAACAATATCAAGAAGTAGAAGTAGACTAGAGCTGACAGAAAACATATGTTTTACATAATAAACCAGTATGGCCACATGTGTAACTTTATAATATATACTAAAAAGTACTTATATATAATGCAATCCAATATTTACTTCTATTCTGCTCTATCCATTCTCTAAATTCTGTTTGCTACTTTCTAAATCGATTTCATGTATTACTGATGAGTTACATTCAAGCATTGAGAAGTGCTACTATTAAAAATATATTAATTATTTCACTGGTTCAAATAATTGGATTTGAGAGACAAAAATAGCATAAGGAAGGGGGAAAATTCAAACTCTTTAATGTGGCAAATTTAAGGTCAATTCCTATCTCAGCTATTTTAGTGAATTTTAGCAAGTTACTTAACTCCTCTATAATTTATTATCTTATCAGTAATCCGACAATAATGACATAAATTGCAAGGGGTTGTTGTGAGCATTAGGAAAGCTAATCTACATAAAGTGAATAGCACACAGTCTAGGACATGGTAATGACTCAATAAATTGTGGCTATTCGAAAATAAAGCATAACATCCCTAGCATATGGAAATTTCCTCTCAACTAAAGAGATTTTGTTTCATATGAGTAAATTTCTTAGTACCTGCATTCATCTTATACACAAAATTGTCTGATTTACTATATCCTTTGCCATAAATGTAAAATAAATTGTTTAATGTTCCCATGCCTCCCATCTTTGGTAGGCTAGTGTACATTATATTCATCCTTCTGCTTTAGAATGGTGATAACACAACATATAATGGAGAATTTATTATCCATTAAGCAGTCCAGGTATTCATTATTAGCTTCAGGAAAATATATTAAGTAATTTCTATATATTTAATATTTTAAGTAGCTCAAATGCATGTGTACAGTATCTTTAAATAAAATTACACAACTAGGAAAGAAATATGAAATTGAAAATAAGAAACTGTAAGGATTTTACTTCTAATTATCTCCCACCACTAGATATCTCCTGTCATTTTCAAAATTAGGACAAAGAATTTATTTCAACTGCCTCCTTTTCCCATTCTTCAAATTTCTTCTTCCTAAATGAGCTTCTTCCCAAATAAACCAACTCTATATATTTTTTATATATATATATATATATGTGTGTGTGTGTGTGTGTGTGTGTGTGTGTGTGTGTGTGTAGTATTAGATATTAACCTAAATGATTTCCTGAGTCATAGAAGGGTACAGAAACAAAACTGTCTAAAACATAATCAGCATGCTGATTATAATGGGTCAGCATTATATATATGGGTCTATATATATGTATCAGAACTGATATGTAGTAAGATATCAGAACTGATATATATATGTATATATAGTATGATACCAAAAGTGAAACATATATATAGGTATAGACACATTAAAACTCCAGAATCTATAGCCTTTAACAGCAGTGGTTCCCAAACAAAGCTTCACTTTGCAGTAACTTGGGGAGTTTTTAAATTCTTATGCTCCTTTGCACCAATATGCACGCAGGTGGAAGCCATTATCCTAAGCAAATGAATGCAAGGACAGAAAATCAAATACTGCAAGTTCTCATGTATAAATGGGAGCTAAACATTGAGTACACATGAACTCAAAGAAGGGAACAATAGACACCGGGGCCTACTTGATGGTATAGAGTAAGAGGAGGGTACTGCGCTCACTGCCTGGGTGATGAAATAATTTGTACAACTAACCCCAGCAACACACAAATTGCCCGTGTAACAAACCTACACAGGTGCCCCTGAAACTAAAATAAAAGTTGGAAGGCAAAAATTAACATAAATAAAATTAATAAAATGTCTTAGAACAAAATAAAATTATTTTGCCTGTCTTCCTGTCCCATAACTTTTGATAAATTGGTCTGGGGTAAGGTCTGAGAATTGGTATTGTTTTCTAAGTTTCCCAGATCATTGTGATGTGCAGCCAAGTTTAAAAACTACTGTACTCCAGCATTCTGTGTGCTGCCCCAGGGCCTGCTAGAACAGTGATTGGATCACAGTTCTATAGATGAAGCTGCCAAACTGGCAACTGCAACTATTATTTCTTTGTTTCAGTAAAGAACATCAATACAGAACTTTTACCCTCTCTCAACCTTTCTCTTAACTCCAATAAAAATCCAGACAGAGGTATATAAGAAGAAAGTCCTTCTATCAAAGTTCTTTCTCTTCTTGGACTTTTAAATAGTGACTACCTAAATTGAGTATCTGGCAAGAGTAAGATTAAGCAGTAGTTTGTTCCAAAGAAGAATCTTCTACCAAGGTAGGTTTTTAGAAATATAAATGTAAGAACTTTCACTTTGGACCTCTCGCTTTTGCTCATATTCTCAAGAATATTATCCTCAAGGCTTTTAATGGAAATAGCTATGCTACCTAAAAATCTCAGATGGGGGTTTTTGTTTTTTTGTTTTGTTGTTTTTGTTTTTGTTTTGAGACAGAGTCTTGCTCTGTTGCCCAGGCTGGAGTGCAGTGGTGTGATCTCTGCTCACTGCAACCTCTACCTCCCGGGTTCAAGCAATTCTTGTGCCTCAGCCTCCCAAGTAGTTGGGGCCACAGGCACATGCCACCACACCTGGCTAACTTTTTGAATTTTTAGTAGAGACAGGTTTTCACCGTGTTAGCCAGGATGGTCTTGATCTTTTGACCTCATGATCTGCCTGCCTTGACCTCCCAAAGTGCTGGGATTACAAATGTGAGCCACTGCACCTGGCATCAGATGTGTTTAAAAAAAAAATCGTTGTCAGTGGTAAAGATTGTCAAGCCTTAAAATTCCTGAAAAAGTGTCAAGAACATTCACATTGATTAGTTACACAATTATCCAGTTGTGAAATTATCCAATTTCACAATCTATTGACTTTTTCCACTGCTATATCTTATGGTTTCTAAAGTCAATTATAAGTAGAAGAGTCTTAAAAAGATATATAAGATAGATTTGCATTTCTGTTGTTCTTGTTTGAGTCGGGTTTCTTACATATTGCTAAACTGCTTTTATGAAAACATATTAGAAAAAGCTATTTAAAGGATAGACACATGCACATAAACTGTATGATCTGTTGACCTGTCTTATGTCATTTCAAGAATAATGCAAATGACAGATATCACATGGACCCCAGGACAATCTGTCAGCCTATGTGCTTGAAATTTGCCTTCCTAGAACACAGGGTGCCATGTACTTACTGTATTTTGTTGAAATTTATAAACAAATTAAGGGCAAAAACCTTTTTTTTTCTCTAATTCACACACTGATAGACAATAATTGACTTTTGGAATAACTTGGAAAAAATCATATCAAGGCAATAATACCTCAGTAGAGTGATGTTAAAGAAAAAATACACATTACATAGTTTTGCTTGAGACAGATCTAAATAACACAATAATTGTATTAAGAAGTTATTTTTTACAATAGTCGTCACATTAACAATATTTAGGTCACAAATCTATAGAAATCTATAAGTTTTGACTAATTTTAAGTAAATATACTAAAAGTATATCTAATTAGTTATGTTTCAAAGTAGTCACCACTAAAGATAACAAGGAATTTCCAAAACTGCTTTAATTTTAAAATGCACTTTCAATATTTATCAGAAAATTACCTTTCATAAAGTACAACCATTTTTTATTTTTAAAAATCACAAACATGACATTATTGCTGTGCATCTATGCTGATTCCTTTCCCCAAAGCATCAAACACATCTTTAAAGGTTATGTTGGTCTTTCTTCATCGTATTATATAACAAGTGTTAAAATGCTTTAAAATTGTTAATCTGAAAAACACTATTGACTGATTTGACTAACCATGGACAATCTTTGGACTGTTTTTAGGAGCAACGTTAAAGAATGAAATTAACTTTTCTCTTGGGCCTGTTGGCTCTTACTTCATGTTTCACGGTGAGTTCCCTCAATTCTAAAGGTTCTTGTTGTATTTCTTGTTAAACACTTCAAAGAAAGTGTTAAAGTCTTGTTAAAGACTTCAAAGAAAGTTTTGATACCAACAATTTTGTCCTGTATGTAAAAATTCAGCTGCTGATCATTATAGACTTGTTCTTACTTTCCTTTTCCTTTTTCACATATGACTAACCATCTAGTCAGTGGTTGCTAAGCATGAAGGGGACTGCAGGAAGAAGGCACAGGACAGGTCGTATCTGGGAGAACTAGCTCTGATCTAGAAACATCTCTTCCTTTTTATTTCTTTTTCAAAAGAACTACCATCAAATTGTCAGAAAAATATAATTTAAGCTTACTAAATGTTTTGAAGCTGTAGGAAATGAGAAAGTATATAGTTGGACCTTCATGATAAATTTTCTACAAAGACAACATGATATATCAGTGCAAGTATTGCTGATTGTACAACAGTTTTTTTAATCGAAATATTTGTAAAAACTAAAACCAAAAAGCCTTTATGATGTCTCAAAATACATTAGTTATGGCTAAAATATTCCTTTTTACACACTGGAAAGTAAAGTGCTACTCACTTGGGAAAACAATAAAAACAGATAAAGAAAAGTCACTCAAGAGGCACTTACACTAATTCGAACTTTTGAAAAGCATTTGTTAAAGCTCTATAGGAGATCCAAAAATATATAATGCAAAGTAACAAGTGCTAAGTGCCATAGTCAAAAATATCACTAGCATAATATGAATTTCAGAGTAAGATCAGTTTCCCTAGTAAATGTTGGCGTTGGGTAGGCTTGACAGAAGACAAAGAGCTCTGTTTGTCTCATTTCTTAATAATTCCTGACAATCCACTGTGTGTTGGGCCTAGTGCTGCTGACACAGAAATACCAAAGTTGAATTCCAAATTGGGATGTTCATAGATTATATCTTCTTTTCATAGTATAGTACCTACCTAAGAGAAACTATTTCTGAATCAGTCTACATTACACAGTGAACAAATAAATGTCAATAGACCCTACTAGCAATGGCACAAGCAGATAAAGTAGCATTATTGTTCTAAAGCATTTAGTGACATTTAATGGCATTTGTATGAATATCATTAGTGATATTTAATGACATTTGTATAAAAATTCTGAGGTTGAAATAGAAGAGTATTGTACTCCATAAGATACCTATATCAGAAACATCTGATTTCACTTATTAAAAATGGTCATTTCCAATCCCTATCTCCAACCTGAGGAAAAAAGAATAGCTGATCTTGGGGCCTGGAAAGCTGCATTCTAGAATATTCTTACTCAGGCTGAAGTCTGAGACTACTTGAATAAATTTTCTTGAAATTTACTTGTCAAGTTCAGTATTTCATACTGAGAATAGGCAACTTCTGAAGAGCTTTACATAAAACATCCATCTTGAGGATTCATATGAATTAATGGCATATTTTTATTCCAGAAGCCTGAATTGCACGACAAATGCAACTTAAATTCTTCTCTACCTTGAAAGAGTATAAAATACCATTTATATAAGAGACAGACGATTCCATGTTCTGAAGAAAGTTAGTTTAATACATAAATTTTCTCATTAGAATTAAATATTATTAGATATAAGAAAATTAGAATCATAGGACATAATTTTTTAATGTCGCTCTAGCAAAAATGTTTTCCTCTATTCATTGCCTCATGAGTTGTTAAATCTTAACAACAATCTTAGGTGTTAGCCTAAATAAAGAAACTTTATTATACTTAGCATCTAGAACTTTCAATACATCAGATTATTTTTATGAGGTAGGGACTAGCTAGGAGTTAAATTAAAAATAACAGTTCATATTTATATATTTACAATATACTATGGAGCACAGTTTTACCCCCAAACCTCACAAAAACACAGGAAATATTTGAGATGCTCCTTTTTATAGCACAGAGCTGAACATGAGACAAAACCTCAATAAGTGTTATGTGAATGCAACAATGAGTGAATGAGCCTTTGTGTAGCTGACGCCAAGGAATAACAAATAGATTTCAGAGTCTTGCCTGTTCATTCATGCCATTGGATAGGCTACATAAAGGATGATACAGGGATGGACTCTAGGCCAAGTGTAAGATGCTGAAAGAGGTGAAAAAGCTAACCATGCAAGCAGAGGAAACAGGAAGTTTCAAAGACTGGAGTAGGGTACACTTGCCTAGTGTTAAGAATAAGGGGGTTAGCATGGCTGGTAGAGAGTGAGATGGGAAGAGAGTAGTAGGAGGTAAGACGAGAGAGGTAGAGGAGGGTAAGGTAAAGCATCTCATGAATGACAAGGATGTCTCCCATGCTCACAAGATGGATAAGGACAGCATTTTTGCCAACACCTGCCATCCCTAACAAGAGAAGCCTTTGTTTGCAGCACAGTCTGTTGACTAAACTGCTATGGTTAAACTGTCGGTCTGGCAGTTTCTAATCCCTAAGAATAGGAAATAGATAGAAGTTTTTAAAAAGTTAAATGATTAAAAAGGGAGTATAAATAAAATAATTTACAGAGGGGCTATGATAAAATAATTACCAAAAGTGAAGAAAAAGCTTTAGCCTGAACTAAACCAATGATAAGCAATTATCAAATAACCTAAGACAGCCAGTCATTCTCAAAACTCTACAAACTCTAAAAACTCTATCAGGGACACAAATCATCTGGGGATTTTGTAGAAATTCAGACGCTGATCCAGTAGGTCTGCCTGAGACCCTAGAGTCTACATTTCTACCAAGCCCCAGGTGATGTTGATGCTTATCTGCTGTCTGCAAATAACATTTTGAGTAGCGAGGCCCTAGTCTACTGAGAAATCAAAAACAGAAAGATTGAGGACTTCTTCGGAGTTTGTACGAATGCTGGAGTCTGCCTCAAATGTTGTCATGGGAAAAGCCTTATGCTCCTTGCCTTGTGCAAGGAAGGAAATGGCACTCTGAAATCAAGTCAGAGAAATTTCTGCCTATCACCAAGTCTGGTAATTCATTCAACACAAAATATTTATTGAGCACTTAATATTTACCAGGCACTATTCTAGATGTTGAGTAAACAGCAGTGAACAAAATAGGCAAAATGTTCCTAACCTCATGGAGCTTATATTCTACTTGGGGAAGACAAGCCATAAACAAAATGACTGACTATATAATGCAGAAAATTTTGGAAGAAGGAATTTGGGGAGGAGGTAGAACAAAGATGTGATTTAAGACAGGGTAGCCCAGTGGAAAATGACATTTGATTAAAGACCTGAAAGAGGTGAAAAAGCTAACCATGCAAGCAGAGGAAACAGGAAGTTTCAAAGACTGGAGTAGGGTACACTTGCCTAGTGTTAAGAATAAGGGGGTTAGCATGGCTGGTAGAGAGTGAGATGGGAAGCGATTAGTAGGAGGTAAGATGAGAGAGGTAGAGGAGGGTAAGGCTGCATCAGGTCTCATGGGCTTTTGCAGAGCCTTGGTTTTACTCTGAGTGATATGCAAAACTTTAGTACATGAAGTCAGTACACAACCTTAGAAAGATGCCACCTCTTCCCACACACTCTTACTTTCCATCATCCATAATGATTCACAGGACAAAAATGAAACTTCTAAATTATCTGAACAGTATCCATAAATATTTACTTAATGTCACCTATAGAGAGTGCAAGAAGGATGTAAACACTGATAAACATGACCTCTAACTTTAAGAGGTATATGACTCTCAGAGGATACAGGATAGACTGGTAAAAATAGCCAAAGCAGGAGTTGACAAACTTTTTCTGAAAAGAGCCAGATAACAAATACTGTAGGCTGTAGGCTTCTGTGGGCCTATAATAAGTGGCCAACTTGGCTGAGGTCGCTTGAAAGCAGCTACATGAAACGAATGGGCATGGCTATGTTCCAGCAAAACTTTATTTACCAAACAGCCAAATTACATTTGGCCCACAGCCTTAGTTTGCCAACTCCTGGTCTACAGAGACACTGAACAAGGCAATATGACATGTAAAAACCTGATACTTGATTTACAAAATAACCATAAAATTTACCCAACATTATTCATGAGTTAAAAAAAAATTTATGTTTCACTGAAACTGTATGCATGCAAAATACTATGCTAAATTGTCATTTTAATTATTTTTTCTAAAGAACATCATGTGGTAGATACTATTACTTTCTCTCTTTTAACGATGAGAAAAGTAACAGAGAGGTTACATAACTTACCCAGATTCACACAACTTGTGAATGAGAAACAAATTTTAACTTGCCTCGATCTATTTGCCTATCTTCTGCCTTTTCTTCTATTACCTGGGATGAGCTAAAATCACCCCAGTGTGTTCTAAGACCAACCCCTCAACTCGTAAACTAGACCCCATCCTCTCTCCTATGCAAGGAGGTTCCACAATTATCCTGTTAATTATCTACCCTAAATCTAAACATCCTACATCAGCAATTTTTCCTTCTCTCTATTGATTGTTCCTACTGCCACATAAATATGAGGAAATATCATCTATATGTTTGTTTTCATTCTCCAATGACTCCCATTATGATCTGTTTGAAAAAGCTGCCTCTGCACATCTTCACTTTTCCTACTCCAAGCAGATCTTGACCACATCATTTGAATTAAACTACACTTGTCAAATTGTACTCCAAATGGTCATGCATAATGGTCAGCTTTCTGTTCCCATGATAATGACGTCTAAATTGAATTTGACATGATCAGTCTCCTACTTAAACTCAGTTTTTTATTTTGCGAACTCCCACACAACTCCACTCTCCTGATTTTTACACTTTTATGACCCCTCCTTGTTGGTCTCCTTCTCCAGACACATCTCTTTCTGATCTCTAAATGTCAGAGTGTCCCAAGACACCATCCTCTTACCCTGTCTCCACCTCTAACCACAAATCCAGTTGCTCAGGCCAAAAAACGAAATCATCCTTGACTCTGTCACCTCCCAGATCCACTCCTTCAGCAAATCTTGCCCACTCCGCCTTCACACCATCAACTAAATTTGACCCTTTCTCACCAT